TTTCCAACTTCCTTTTGCCAGACCTGCCAATGGACTTGCCCTTACCACTTGATTTAACCAGAATATCATCACCAGACACAAATTCTTCCTCCACAACTTGCTTAGACTTGACACTACCTTTCACAGGCTTTTTACTTGGTTTTTCAACAACTTCCTTTGAAGCAATCTCAACAGATTGTTTCTTTTTCTGAGATTTCTCAACCAGCGAACTTGGTTCCTCCTGAGCATCCTCATCCACTTCCACTACAAGTATACTTTTGTCACACATAGTTTCCACGTCCTTCACCAGCCTCTTCTTCTTTTTCTTGTTACTCCTTTTGCTTTTCTTCAAGGCACACTCAAAAGCCTCCTTATGTTGCAACCTTGTGGTAGGTCGCTTAGGAGGGGGCTCAGGAGTGACCACGGGCTTTTTAATCTTAAAGCGTGCACTGAAAACCACATCATCCTGTTCATCTTCATCACTAGATCTCACATCGGGAGAGATAGACTCCAACGGCTCAGCGTCAAAGTGAGGAGAAGGAGTAGGGTAAAAGCTGACCTGGGAAGATGATTCCTGACATGTTTCCTCATGGAGGGGATCGGGTTCATCAACAGGGTTCCCAGTAGCTTCTTCAGGTGCAGCTGGTTCAAAGAGCACCATTGTTCCTTTTTCTCCTAAGAGCGGAGTCCCTTCCCCCTGAGACTCAGGCATGGTAGAAGGTCCTTCATTCACCAGTCCCTCAGCAGCAATGGACAACATATTTTCGATGGCCTCCTTTTCCTGAGGTTCCATAGCAGCAGCAGTAACCAGAGAACTAGCACACTGATCAGTATCTTCCTCGGACACCCATTTTCCTTGTTGAGTTTTACCCTTTTCTTCATCCTTGTTCTGTTCTTTGAGAGTATTAGGCAACAGAGAAGAAACACTATCTATTTTGGGTGCTTCTGAGTCCTCAACACTTAAGGAAGGAGTATGACAGAGGGAGTGATGAGAGAGATAGGGGGTGAAAGGGAATCAGGTTTGGGTGTTTCTGGGTCAACAATGGTGGAAGAGGGGACGTTTGGTGGTGTTTCTAATATGGCGGATGAGTCAAGGGTTTTCTCTTCAGAGGTGGGTAGGTTTGCTTGCTCTTCAGCCATGGTAGATAGTTGGGTAGACGGTTCTGGAAGAGTGGAAAGAGAGAAGGATGATCGCTTAAGGTTAGGAGGTGTAGGGGTTTTAAGGAGGGAAAAGATAATTTTGAGGGAAGAGAAACGGGTTCTGAAACGGCTGTAGGTTTATGGGAAGATGCAATGTTGCAGAGGCAAGTGAAAAGATTTGAAAGAAAAGACGTGATATACAGGGTCTGAAAAGGTGGATGACGTGGAAGTTAATTTTGTTTCTTTTGAGATATGCATGAAAAAAACACAAGACTACTAACCTGTGGTACAAGAACCAGGTTCTTGACCGGTTTTTCGGAAAAGATTTTTCAACTCTCTTTTACCGCTCATGCATTATTTTTTCAGCTTCTATAATCATCATGCGTGTCTACCTGCAATGGTATAGAGGCAAGTTAGGCTTGGCCGGAAAACACTTTATCTAGATTTACCTGAATGTAACTTTCATATCCATATGGAAGGGAATCAGGTTCTCAAATAGGCTTGATTAACCCCAGTGCCATCCTGTTTTTCTCAAAATGTTCCCTGCTCAGAGCTTTGGTGAAGATGTCTGCAATTTGGTCTTCTGTACTACAGAACTTCATGCAAATAAGCCCCTTTCTCCACATTGTCTCTGAGAAAATGATGTCTCACATCAATGTGCTTGGTTCTCTTAAGCTGGACCGGGTTCATTGCCATGTTGAGTGCACTGGTGTTGTCATATAGAAGAGGTACACAGTCAGTGTATACTCCAAAAATCCTCTAGTTGTTGTTTGATCCACAAGAGCTGAGCACAGCAGGATGCTGCAGCAACATATTCTGCTTCAGCTGTTGAGAGAGCTACTGAATTTTGCTTCCTTGTACTCCATGAAATCAGACATGATCATAGGAAATGAGCCATTCCAGATGTGCTCTTCTTGTCCACAAGGTAACCTGCATAGTCAGTGTCAGCATAACCAACAAGATTAAAGTTGTCACCTGAAGGGTAATACAGAACCAGGTCCTGTGTTCCCATAAGATATCTCAGAATCCTTTTAGCAGCTTTTAGATGAGATTCCTTAAGATTTGATTGAAACCTTGAACATAAACCTACATTGAATATAATATATGGCCTGCTGACAGTGAGGTAGATGAGTGATCCAATAATGCCTCGATACATTATTTGATTTACATGAGAGCCAGTTCATCCATGTCTAGCTTAGCGGCAGTGTCAATCACCTTTGATGCTTCCATATCAAACCTCTTCAAAATCTCCTTGATATATTTCTGCTGACTAATACAAGTTCCCTTCGTGGACTGCTTCACTTGAAGACCCAAGAAAAAGTTCAGATCCCCCATCATGCTCGTCTCAAACTCACTTCCTATGAGTTTTGCAAATTCCTCACAAAGTGAGTCAGCTGTTGCCCCGAAGATAATATCATCAACATATACATGAACAATGAGCAGGTTCCTTCCTCGTTTCTTCAGAAATAGAGTGTTGTCAATTTTTCCTCTTGTAAATCCATTTTCTAAGAGAAACTTTGACAACCTTTCATATCAAGCTCGAGGAGCCTGCTTCAAACCATATAGTGCCTTGTCCAATTTGAACACATATTCAGGATGTTTATGACATTCAAAACCTGGAGGTTGCTTAACATAGACTTCTTCCTTTAGAAAACCATTCAGAAATGCACTTTTGACATCCATTTGGAACAAGGTGAATTCCATATGTGATGCAAAGGCAATGAGAATTCTGATGGCTTCCATACGAGCAACTGGAGTGAAAGTCTCATCATAATCAATCCCTTCCTCCTGATTGTAACCTTGGACAACCAACATTGCCTTGTTCATTGTAGTGTTTCCATGCTCATCAAGCTTATTTCTGAACACCCACCTGGTCCCTATGATGGTTCTATCTGAGGGTCTAGGTACCAGGTGCCATACTTTGTGCTCTTTCAACTTTGAACTTGGCAAGCCACGAACCAGGTCCTTCTGTATCAGCTTGTTCAGAAGAGAGAAGCTTGCATGTCCCAGCCTTCTGTGCCACAGCTTGGCATCATCATCAACAGCTTTCAGGCAGCTCATGTCACCATATTGTAGGGACTCGAAATCAGCAACGTAGATGTTCTTGTATCTTTTGGCCATAGATACCACTTCGCCAGTTACCAGATTAGTAATTGTGCATATCTTTGACAAAAACTCCATTTTGTTTCCCTTATCACAAATTTGAGAAACACTCAAGAGATTGTACTTCAAACCATTGACATAATACACGTTCTCGATTGAGTGTGAGAGAGACTTTTCAATTTTTCCAACACCAAGAATGTACCCCTTTTTCCCATTTCCAAAGGATACATTCCCTCCTTAAAGGACTTTCAGTGAAAGGAAGTCCATGGTATTCCCAGTCATGTGCTTAGAGCATCCACTGTCCATGATCCATTGTTGACTGCTTCCTCTCACTGTTCCCTGCACAAGGAATTCAAGGGTTAAATTTAGGAACCCAAACAAGTTTGGGTCCCTTGTAATGAGAAAAGGGATGAATGAGAGCTTTTCTAGTCCATGCAGGCAACATGCATTTTTTGTGAGTAGCACCTGGTTCTCTTCCAGTAGTTACTTTTTCAGCAAAAACTTTATTTTTCTGAATAGACTGGACTCTGGCTTGGCAATTTTCCTTGAAATGCCCATTGTTCCTACAGTTGGTACAAAGCCAGTTATCAGGTACAGTGACGTACTTGCTATGAGGGTTATAGGGAACTTTCTCCCTTTGGAACCCTATTCCCTGCCTGTTTCCACCATTGTTAAAATACATGGCAGTAATAGCATTTGAGGACCAGGTCCACTTAAGAGATTTCTCAAGATCATTTTTTACTTTTTCCAATTCTGCTTGAAGCTGCCTATTTTTCTCAAGCTCAACACATAAACTAGTTTTCACAATATTCAGCTCATTTTCAAGTTTAATATGTGCCTCACTAGCAATTTCCTTTCCCTTTTCAGAATTTCCAGGCCTAGAGTCTGCTTTAAGTTCCTCAATTATTTCCTCTAGGTCTGCAATTACCACTAGGAGATCATATCTTTCTTGCTCAGTGATAGCAACTTTCTCCACTAAGGCATTCTTTTCTTTACTAAGGTTCTCAGTGGTTTCTTTCAAGTCAACTACAATTACCATCAAATCATCTCTTTCATGTTCTACACTAGCAATTTTTTCTGTTAGAACCTCCTTTTCATTTTTCATATTTTCTATGGTTTCCTTCAGGTCAACTATACAAACAACCAAGTCATCTCTAGTCTGCCCAGCATCTCCTAACTCTATGGTTAAGGCATCCTTATCACTCACCAGAATATGATATGCATCAATCAATACATTAGCTAATGACATGAGTTTTTTAGGAGAATAGGATTTCAGATTTCTCTGAATATCCCTAAAATTTACGTCATCATTGTCATCGTCTTCATTATCGTCTGACTGAGCAATCAAGGCGAATATTGAATCATATTCCGTTGCTTCACTTTCAACTGCCAACATGGAGCTATCACCTGCAGTATTTTCTTCTTCAGACTCACTGGAGGAGTCTCCCCATGCTGCAAGAGCTTGTTTCACAACATTGTCGGCTGCGCTTTTTCTTTTGAAGCGTTTGTCAGGAACCGGGTTCCTCTTGGCTGCTTTATCAGAGTTGTGCTTGAAATGTTCTTGCTTCAAAAGATGACAGTCTTTGATGAAATGCCCTGGCTGTCCACACTTATGATAGAGGTCATAATTCTTTGGTTTGCTGGAAATACCTTTCTTTGGTATATCTCCATTTCTTCGAACCATTTTCTGAAACCTTCTGGTAAGGTATGCCATGTCACTCCTCCTCGCTCGAATCATTGTTTTCAGCTTTGAGTACCAGATTCTTCTCCTTCTTTGGTTATCTTCTTTCACTGTCCTTCTTTTTCCTCATCTCGTAGGTTTTCAGATTCCCAACTAGCTCGTCCATAGTCAATGTGTGTAGATCCTTGGCTTCAGTGATAGCATTCACCTTACTTTCCCAGGAGCTAGGTAAAATGCTAAGAACTTTCCTCACGAGCTTGTTCCTAGGAATGATTTCTCCAAGAGAGTGTAGCTCATTTATAATGGAAGTGAATCGAGTATGCATGTCTTGAATGGATTCATCATCCTTCATTCTAAATAGCTCATACTCAGTGGTGAGCATATCGATCTTGGACTGCTTTACTTGAGTAGTTCCTTCATGTGCCATTTGTAAAGCTTCCCATATCCCTTGGCAGACTGACAGGCTGAAATCCTGTTATATTCATTAGGTCCTATACCACACACCAAAATCTTTTTGGCGCGAAAGTTCTTCTCTACAACTTTTCTGTCGGCATCATTGTACTCTTTCCTGGTTTTTGGCACCATTACAGCAGGTTCTCCTACCTTCTTTGTTGGGACGTATGGACCATCACAAATAACATCCCATAACTCGGAGTCTTCTGCCATTATGAAGTCATGCATTCAAGTTTTCCACCAGCCATAGTATTGGTCGTTGAATCTCGGGGGCCTGTAGGTTGATTGTCCTTCCTCGAAGTTTGGTGGAGAATCCATGGTGAGGATCCTCTCTAGGTGTTAACCTTTTAGAAAGAACCCGCTCTGATACCAATTGATATAATGTATGAATCCACCAAACTGTATAGAGACCTGGTCCTATACCAGTTCCTACAGAAATAGCTAATGAACCAGTAAGTAAATGACACAGGAGATTTTACGTGAAAAAATTCCTGCTCAAGGGGATAAAAAACTACGACCTTCACTTGTAGGATTTCAACTTCACTACTTGAGCAATCTTTAGATTACAACCTATTGTAACCTAGGAATTAAACTCTTAATCCTTCACTAACTTGTAATACACCTATTACAAGCCACTTTGCAATACACCTATTACAAAAACTTCAACTTATGACTAACTCTAGTCACGACAAAAACTCTACGAGTTTGTGGTTTTTGAGGTTCCTAATTTAAGCTTCTAGATAAGCAAAGTAGGAATTACAATAAATAACCAATACAAAGATACAACTCAACTAAGGACATACAAAAGACTTGTTATGGAACTGGTCCGTAGTAGTATTGCACTTTATTCTTGATGCACTTGTAACTTCAATGCTTGATTATCAGATCTTGAGTGCTTGAATTGTTTCACAAGTGTTCAAGTGATGTTTTGTTATAATGCTTCTTGTTAATATCCTTTGGATGACATTAGTTGGATGATGTAAATACTTGGTTGGTAAAAAGTCCTTCCCAATGGGAAGTGACTGTTGCACTGTTTCTGCACTGTAGCATGTATAGTGCAGGCAGTCACTTTCCAGCTGTAGAGTTGACTTCGTACTGCAGTCAGGGAAGCTCCAAGGGATCAGGTCCCTGAGTTGGTTCTTTTCTATCTGAAGTCATACAGCTCACATTAGCTTAAGTCCATTGATGGATAAATATACCAAGTGTGCATCAGGTCCTTTATCTGGTTCTTGATAATAAGTTTGTTAGATCATCAAAATATAAATCTAAGATACTTTAAACCCATCAAAATCCAAAATGAAAAATATCCTATTGATTCACTGGTACTTTATTTTAAAAAATTTGCCTTGGTAGCAAGATGAAGGCTTTTATATTAAATTGATGTGCAAAATTGTATTGAGATCTGATAATGACGGATACCAGAGGCAATTAGTATTAGATTACCAACCGAATTGTTAATTGGCAATGTCTTGGAAAAAAAAAATAATCACTTGTATTGGTCCCTTACGAAATTCATTACTCGACAAGAGAAGCCAAAATTAAGGTACTAATTGGGTACACTTTCACAAATAATTTGAAATGATGAGAAAGCGACCAAAAATAAATTTAATAGAGAAAAGTGAATGAGACATGATCGAAAGCAATATATAAAACATTATACATATCTTGTTGGCGTACAAAATTAGCCTTGCTTTGTAACCTTCTTCCTAATGAAAAATCATGTGATTCCATACTAACTATTCTATATTCTTAAAATTATCATTAAAATTTAAAATAATGGAAGAAAGTAAAGATGGTGGGGAGATAATAAATAGTTTTTTAGCTTCAATCTTGTAAAGAAATACTAGTAATTCAACAGAATTTAACATTACAACTTTCGTTATTGTTTTGCAACCAAAATAACTAAATTATGTTTTACTCATGGCATTGATAATAGTGAAAAAAACTTTGGAAACAACTCAAATGTTTGGATTATGTTGTGCGTCGAAACATAATATTGAGGAGAGAGTACATTTATTGGGACATTAGTTACTTTCGAAGAAGACGATATTATACACGTGAATCATATTTATACACATGAATCTTATTTTCAAAGGAAACTATATTTTTCAAGTTTGGAAAAGATGGCAATTGATTAACGACTAGTGTAAGAATAATTATAATGAACCTTTGAACATAAAATGATAAAAAATATTCATATAGTAAACTTTCTATAGGGGTTTACTGTTATACTTAAGTTCCTAGCTATGCTGATACTTTTGTCAAATCCTAAAACTCTAGCTCATTGGTCATAAATGTTCATTTTGATCTCGCTCGACATGCTGATCTTGACTCTACGATATGTCAGCTTCCATCTTTTTAGACGGAGTTTGGCACTTTAATTGTGTGTCTTATCTTTACATGGCTGATCTTTGTTATTTTTCAATCGATAGATCTTTTTGACGTGCTATTAAGCTACTATTTTAATTAATTTGAGATTGAGATCTAGTTGATTGAGTTTTTTTTTTTTTTTTCACTTTTAGTCCCCGTCAAAAACTATTTACATTCGATAGTCGAAAAAGTATATAAAGTTTGTAAAAATTTTGTATATAACATACAGAATGTATATATACAAAAAGTATTTTTTTTCCCGGCTATTATTTTGAGAGCGGCTATACAGTAAACCTTGATTGAGCAATAAGGCCCAAGCGAATAAAATAGGCCCAAAAAGTAGAGTAGAAAAAGTCCAGGCCCAAAGTAAGCCCTAATATATAGGAGGTAGTCCAAAGGAACAAGTCTCTCGCGCCACACCAACCCCCTACCAATCGACACCTATAGCGTAGAGAGAGACACCTATACATACCACATTACACAAACCCTTTCTCTCTCCTCTTTCTCTCTCCCCCATCAAAATTAGCGATTCTTATAGAAACACAGTATGTAGATACAGAAAATTACCTATACATTCCACCCAGATTATTGTATAGGTTTTATATTGTACATACATATTAACTGCGCATCATTACTCTCTGGTAATCCGGTTAAAAAACCTTTTATCATCACCTCTCTCATATTAGTTTACATTTGATTTGTGCAATCTAACCCTAGATTTGTGTAATACACCGTAAATATGTGCATCACGTAGCTGGGGATATGTTCTCTCTATTGGGTATTTAGATTAATTACTGTTTAAATATCGGAATGTGGGGTTTGATCGGAACAATCTGGTTTAATTTTGATTGACCCATTAGGTTTTTTTTCACAAGAAACTCTGTGAAATCTTTGGGTGCTTTTATTTTAGTATGCATTCGAGAATTGAGGGTTTTCTTGTAGAATCGGGTGAATATATTTAGAGTAGAAAGCTATGGCCTTGAATCAACACGAACGATTTTTAGCTGGGCTCGAGTTTGATAGGTGTAATAGGTATTTTGACAGAGAATGCCCAAATGAGAAGCTTGATTGTTCTGGTGATTTTTGGGGTTTGAATTGTAAAGTTGAAAACTTTCATGATCACAACAAAACTGGAAAAACTAAGATGGTTTCTGATGATATTAGTGATTTTTGGGGTTTGAAAAATTGTGAAAAGGGCAGCTTTCGGGATCCCGAAGATGAAGAAACTAAGATGGTTTCTGATGATGATATTGTTGATTTGTTGCCTCAGGATCCTTTTGGTATGGGTATTAGTACCAAAGTCACGGCCATCACGGGTTGGTTAGAGGATTTTGACAAGGATTTTGGGTTAAAGAATCTTGGTTTCCACGCAGATGAGATTGAGGTTGACGCTCAAATGTTTGCGGAACTGAATATCGTTCTAAATGGGGCTATGAGAATTCACCAGGATGTGGGGGTCCAGAACATAGGTGAAAACTCCTATGCTTCTGAGATTGATATAGGAGAGGGATTGTGCGATTCTTTTGGTTGTATGGACGTTGAGATGGAGGAGATTATAAATTCTAGTTATTGGGTTTTTAGAGATGCAGCTCAGAAAGATCAGTCGGGCATGAATGATCATCGTAATGGAGATGGAGGTACTCCTTCAGATGCACTGTTTTTGGCCCTTAGCTATCTGTGCTTGAGAGACCTTCTTTCTGTTGAAAGAGTTTGCAAACCTTTACGAGATGTGGTGCGTGGTGATCCTCTTCTGTGGAGAAATATTCACGTTGATCATCCATTGAGTTGTAAGATCACAGATGAAATTCTTACAAAGTTGACAGAAAGAGCTCAAGGTCATCTTCATTCTCTGAGTCTTGTGCACTGCTCAAAGATCACTGATAGTGGTTTGAATTGTGTGCTTGAAAGGAATCCTAGCCTGAAAAAGGTCAGCTATTATCTTTTGCTGGTTACTTATCTATGTTTGATACTTTTGCTCATTGTAGTTTCTTATTAGACGTTATCTTGTGTTACCAAAAGTACAATTACTATGGTTCTTAGAGTCTCATAATGAATGTAAGGCTTGCACTACAGATGTATTTGGCGTTCTTATTATTGGTCAATTACTTGTTCTACTCTCACCTTATTTGCCTCACGTAACAGAGTTTCAAGGTGTCGTTGCAAAAATTGTAATTGATTGATCTTGGATAACTGTGAGTGTTTCAGATGTAATGCTTTAGTATTTAACTGTTCATGAAAGTGGATATTAGGATCCTTCACTATTGCATTCCTTTGTTTCTTCCCTTTTCAGTGCTCGTGTTAGTCTACTTTTCTGGTATCTACTGCATCTGATGCTGCCTCTACAATGCAATTATGCTGCTAGATATCATAGTACAGTTGTAGTTCAAACTCTTGAAAAGATATTATAATTCCTTATTAAAATATTTATTGCTGAAAATAAAAACATGTATTGCTAAAAATATCATTTGAAAAAAGTTTTTAGAGGCCTTTTAGCAGAATTTAAAGGACTGGAGATAGTGGGTTGAAAAGCAGGACAGTTGGTATAGTGGATAAGCCTATTTAGCCTTGTATTACTGAAATTAGTTGTCTTTATAAAAAATTACAGAAACGAGTGGTGCAATTTGGGGGCAGTTCTGATAGACCAAGAGACCAATAGACTTGTTCTTGGAGGTGGGGCTGTGTGCATAATTTTTATTGATATATTTTATTAAGGAGCAAATTATTTTTGTTCTTCATGTCATACTGGACGTGGTATCAACGGCTTCATGCACAGTAAATTTGATGAGCAATGAATTGTGAGAGAAATAGTGAGACACAATGTCTAACTAATTTTTCCCTTGTTTTCCAATCAAATAAGCTGCTATTCCTCTTGGTTTTACCTTTTCAGGGAGTTCATTAAATTTTTTGAATACCTTAGTATATTCTTCATTTCCTATGTTTAATATTTCATGTGTTTATTCTTATTATAGTTTTCTGATGTCTTGTGTTTACTTTCTCAATGCAGCTTAGTGTCCCAGGATGTGGGAGACTCACAGCTGATGGTGTTCTCGGTAACTTAAAGGTCTTCAAGCCTGCAGGAAAACCCAGCCTTAAGTACCTAGGTATTGATGGGTTATTTGGTATGACAAACCAACACTTCGAAGAGTTCAAGGTCTTGTTAGATGTCGATAGCAGCAAGCTGCCAACTAATCGTAAACCACGGTTTTTCCAAGGCGGCCAGTTATCTGTGTTGTCTGATGATGATCAAGCTATTGATATTGAAATATGCCCGAAATGCCAGCAACTTAGACTAGTCTATGATTGCCCCTCAGAGAGTTGCCAAAAGAAGCAATCTACCACTCAGTTGTGCAGGGCTTGTACTATCTGCATTAAACGTTGTATCAACTGTGGGCGGTGCCTAAATAATTGTGAATATGAGGAATTATTCAGTTTCGACTTGGTTTGTTTAGATTGCTGTAGGCAACTTTTGGATCACCAAGAGAGCCTGGAGAGGATGACCGTTCCGCTGGAAAATCCTATTCTTCATAAGCAGGCAAGTTGCCATTTCTTCCTCTGTGGCTAGAATGCACGGTAGGTAATACTTTTATCTTTAAGCATCAAATCAAATCCAGCTCTCGAGTATTGATTAGTGACTGGTCGTGGTGTCATTGAAATCTGATGAATGTGGAATTGGTAGGAGAAAATGGCAGCTGTGAAGCTGATCTCCTTCCAGGGAGGCTTTGTCAGTAAGAATATTGTGATTTAAAGAAAATGCGGGCTGGGTGGAGCTCGGCAGAGGGTTTGACTCCTTACAACTCGCACCAATTGCGGCATTTGCGGTTAGTTGAGAGAGCGATGTGATTGTATTGTGTCAGAACACAACTAATCCCCACTAGGCGATTGAGAGGAGGAAGTCTGGTGAAGGCTGAACAACTACCTCCGTAGCTGAATTGTGCTTATTTCGAGAAAAAAAAAAACTGGGTTGTGCTAGACAGCGTCACTAGTTGTGTTTGTATGCGGACTAGGGCATCAATCACCAGCGAGATCCGCAATATTAGAAAGTAAACCCTACTTCTTGGCGAGGAGAAGGAAGAAGTTTATCGTATGTCTTGAGGTGAAGGGAGGCAGCGTGCATTTGCTTCCAAATAATGGCTGGAATAGCTGGATTGTGCTATTGGTGTCACTAATTTTGTTTGTATGCGGACTAGGGCATCGATCACCAGCTAGATCTGCAATTCCAGGAAATAAAACCTACTTGGTGACGGGAAAAAAGAAATTTGTCATTGTAGGGATGCAGTGTGCATTTGCTTCCAGTTTCAGTGTTCTATTTTACAACTTAAGTAATCAACTCACAGCTTATGAAACAGTTCTTGATCTGAATATTCGGGTACTAAATGATATATTGCTATTGCAAATTCTGTGTTTTTTCTTGCTTGCATTTTTAGTTGTAATATAGTAGTTGCTGAATTCTGTGATCAAACAGAGCAATGTGTATCATGGTCGTTTTCTATTGTCATGTGTTGCTTCAGTATTCTCATTTCTTGTGAGACTTACGATTACTTTGATCGGATTGCCCAAATGCTATCCAGTTAACCAGATAAGATTAGTACTAGTTAATCCATTTAATGAGTAATATTTATATTCGGAAGGAGTTTATTTAAATAAAACTCTCGCCTAAATCCTATCCAAGAAGAAAAAAAGAAATAAAATAAAGCTACCATCTTTGTTTTCCTTTTCCTCTTAACCCTTTCCTTTTCTTTTTTCTGTAGTGAAATAACAGCAATATAGCAAGAACTAAGTATATTTAACAAGAGCTTAAAATGTAAAGAAAATGATAACAGCAAGAGAGCAAATACTATCACTCGTTTTCTTCTATCAATTGTGTGCTCCCTATATGATTTACAAGTCAATTAGGGCTAAAAAGTGAAATTTTATATATAAAAAAAAATCCTTCCATGATAGGGATGATGTCCATAACATAGCATGGGCGGATATCCATTCTCATGAATAATTTACAACTTCTAACACATTGATTCTACTCCGAACATGCTTGGGTGTTTTTCCTACCTCCAGCAGGTTGCGAAAATCCCATTACCTCCGTTACAATGTCAATTAATCTATATATCTGCTCGACAGGGGCACATGAGCAGACGGGCCAAATTATGGAATAACAGGAAAAGGCAGACATTCTAGTTCTAGGGTATAAAAAGAACCCAATGGTTCACGGCAATGTAGCTGCTGCATGCCCTCAATCTTCTGTCTATGGTCATCCAGCTCCCGTACTACCTCACCCACCAAACCTCTGTCTCAGATTATTGTAGGTTCGAGAAACTAGTTCAGTCTTGGATCATCAGCTGGTATATCCAGAATCTGAAATGGATTACCAAAAATTATGACCACATACATCAGAACGAAAGTGTCCTATTTCCAGATGCATCTCGCCTGGAGAAGTTAAAACCACAAAATAGTGGTGGACTAGCTCACAGCTTTTGCATCATTCTATCTCAACCTTTCAACGAAATCAAATTGAAAGAATGCAAGTACATGCAGTTTAGTGCTGATCCAGACAAACCATAAGACAAGAATATACTTGGGAATGAATCCTAATTGGTTATCAGGTAGAGTTGGTAAAACAGGATGCTTGGATTGTTTGGTTCAAGAGCAGCAAATGACTTTGTCACAGCATCTAAGAGCTGCTTGCAATCTACAAACCTTAGCATTATCTAATAATTGCCCTTCCTAAGGTGATAGAAGAACCAATGGATTTGTCATCAAGTAAGGAAAACTCACCTTCAAGCGAGAAGCCATCAAAATATGCTTGAACAGCAGGAAACGATGGTGTAATTTTAGGAGCTCGCATCATCTCCCATATCAGATTGGCACTAGTATTTCCACCAGTCTGCAAACAGTTACGAAATTAAATGACTCAAGACATATGTGATGAGAAAAGAGAAATAACAGAAAGCAAAAAAGGGTATGGAAATGCAATATCTGTGCATTTCAGATTACGAAATGCAATGTAACTCATCAACATCTTCAATAACTTTTACATAGGAGGGAAAATAGTAAATTCAATACTGAGGTTTTCTTCAAACGATTGAATTCAATCTTCAAACAAGGCTTATTTCCCTAGTAGAAAGCATCTCTGCAGAGGACTTCTGATATAAACATTCGACCAGACATATTACAAGAGTGACCTTTTAATAACAGAGTGCTAGGCTTGAATGTGTTAAATTTACTTCACATTCAAACAACTAATAACTTTAGGTCTATCTTATCTTACGAATTCAATAGAAAAATAAACCACAGAACATCAAGTTTTAGAAAGATTGAATGAAACATCTAGGTTACTAAACCTGAATGTAAAGACTGCAACCTTCTTTGGCTCCTAGAGAATACTCTTTACACTTCAAATCCAAAGTTTATTCCTTTAAAATGTCAAAAAATGCAATCATAAATTACTCACCATTGTTAGGCTCGAACGACATGCCCTTCTCAAAATAGACTTTAATGGAATTTGACGTTGAATAATATAATTAATTTTAGGTACCTAAAAATTAGATGGGAGATTTCCTTTACTTTAATCAAACCCAAAATTGCCAAAATGTTGTATCTTATTAAACCAATTTAAAATTATGTATAACACTACTTCCCAAAGTTTTTCAGAATACTCGAATGTTTCCAAAGAAAAATAATATCGATTTTTGAAAATACTCAAAGCTAAAATGTTCTAACGATTTCGATTTCCATAGCCTAGAAGTAAATGATGATTTCACAACACAAGAGAGTTGTATCCATACCTCTAGATTTTACTCGCCAGTCCAAAGTTTGATTTTTGTAAGATTGTCATTATAAACAACATGATAACATTAACTATGTGACCTTTGATCACATAGTTACATGTTACCATGTTGTTAATAAATGCCACTCTATATCATGTAAAACTTCGGTATATTTTGACTATGTAAGATGGTATTGAAGGATTGATATTCAAGTATTTTCGGAATCGGAAAGCTAAGAGTTTCTTATTGAGAAAAAACCCTCTAATTTTCACTCAATTGATCGGAGAAATGAGAGAAATGGAGAGTCAATCGAAGAAAAAGAGGATATAGTGTTTCAGACAAAACATGGGTCTTCGGAGATATCTAGAAGAGATAAGATTTTATTTGCACAATTAGACCTTACACGTGGAGCACCCTCAGCAATTGATATGGTGTATGACCGTCCAGATCAAAGTGGACTCATTAAATCATCATATTATTCTCACATGGGTGAGACATGTGATTAGGCATTGTAAATAATAATAGTGGTTAGTTAGTTATTCTCATAGCCTATAGAAATTAGACAAGTGTATAACTCTTTATTCTTTCTAGATAGGATAATTTGTATATATAGATTGATGACTACACAATGGAATGCAACAGAGAAAATTCCTAAATACGTCTTCTTCCTTTTAAAATCTTTCATGGTATCAGAGCAGTGAAGCTCGATCTAATCATCTCTCTGTTCTATCTCACTTTCTTTTCTCTTCATCTTCCTCACCATGCATGATAATACAGAAACATCTATCATCCAAACTGGATCTAGAAGTGGAGTAACCTTCGATCCAAATCATCCCTACTTCCTCCATTCTTCTGATGCATCTGGAATGACCCTAGTCAATACAATATTCACTGGCAGAGGTTTTCAGGGATGGAGGAGGTCTGTGCTAATTGCACTTTTAGCCAAGAATAAATTAGGCTTCATCAATGGAACCTGTCCAGCTCCAGCTGCTACTTCCAAGGATTTTCAGCCTTGGAGTAGATGCAATGACATGGTGACCTCTTGGCTTATAAGCTCACTCTCCAAAGACATTGGAGATAGTGTTATCTACTCAAAGTATGCCAAGGACACTATCTCCAATGTCTTTGGAGAGTGAGCTTATAAGCCAAGAGGTCACCATGTCATACTTTGAGTAGATAACACTATCTACTCAAAGTATGCCAAGGATCTGTGGAACAGTCTTGAACATAGGTTTGGACAGTCAAGTGGTGCCAAACTCTATCACCTGCGCAAAGAATTATCAGGGTTAGTTCAAGGAACAACTAACATAGCAGGATACTTTACAAAGCTCAAATGATTATGGGATGAGCTGGATTCTTTGAACTATGATGTCAAGTGCCTATGCACTTGTGTCTGTGATGGAAAGTAAAAGCTAGAGAAGTCCTTAGAGGATGAAATACTTATTCAATTCCTCATGGTATTGAATGATTGCTATGGAAAAGCTAGGGGAAATATCTTGATAATGAACCCTTTATCCAACATCTACCATGCTTATTCCTTGATTCTACAAGATGAAAATCAGAGAGAAATCTATGCAAACCCTCTAATCTCTACTGATTCTTCATCTTTCATGGTGGGGAACCAAGGAAGTTTTGTAGCTCAAAGTAACTACACACAGAAAAATGAAAAACAGACACAAAGGAACTATGGACAATTCCAGAAAACTCCCATGCAGAAACTTGGAAACCCAACACAGAAGAACCCAACCTACAAAGGAAAGAAAACCAAATTCAATCCTAATGCATCTTGTACCTATTTTAAGAAGATAGGTCACACAATCAATGATTGTTATAGAATCATAGGGTTTCCTGAGGACTTTGAATTTACCAATACCAAAGGAATTCAGTTTCAAGTTAGGGAAAATGAGGTTTTTCCAGCTGAGCCAACAGAAGAAAACAACAACAACTACAATGAGCCTTTAACTCAACACCTCTCCAAAGATCAATTTTCACAGTTAGTGCAGCTGATCAAGCAGGTTAAGGTTGGGGATGCAGGAACTTCTAATTCAGAGATCAATGCAAATGTTGTGGCTGGTACTATTATCAAGTACAATGGTTCATATTTTTCAGTTTTTAATTCTAGTACTTGGATTATTGATTAAGGGGCTTCAGAACATATGTGCTTTGACTCAAATGCCTTTCTATCTCTGACCCCTTTATCCACTCCATTGCATATAAATCTTCCTAATTCTTTCAAGTTAACAGTCACTCATACAGGCAGAATTCCTATATCTCCAGAATTCATTTTGAAAAATATTATGCATGTCCCTAGCTTTAGATATAATCTACTATCGTTCAATAGGTTCTGTCTACAGTTTCATTGCATTATTTTACTCACATCTAGTCAATGTCTATTGCATGCCCCTTTAATGAAGAGGCCTCAAATTTTTGGTGAAGCAAAAGAAGGGCTATATATGTTGGAGCCTACTGGAGTTAGAGATAGTTCACAACCTAATGTAGTTTCCTTTTCTAATCATAATGATGTTAGTCAAGTTTCAGTTTCCTTTTCCTTTTCTGCAAGTGCAGTTTCTAATGTAACTCTTTGGCACAATAGATTGGGGCATTTGCCTTTTCCTTCAATAAAACAGTTCAATTTTATTTCAATCTCTTCTGATTCTGATTGTTTTTGTGATGTATGTCCTAGAGCTAGACAAACTAGACTCTCTTTTCCTTTTAGTCAAATAACATC